CAGCAAATCTTTTTATGACCACTACAATTGTTTGAGCTCTGCTCCCTTTTACAGCCCACAATAAAATAATTGTAATAACCTTGAGCTGCTTTCCACCCTACGAACATGCAATATCTTTTTTTCCAATATCATCCCGTTGCGCTTGGCAACAGCCTCCTTGGCATCCACTTTTAAGAAGTAGTGTACAATGCAGCAATATACATCAGGCTCAACCTCAGCAGTTGAAGCCAATATTTAATGTAAAAATGTTTTTTGATCAGTCAGAATAGCTTCTCATATTAGAAATTTCAGAAGTGTGTTCTGCAGAGACTATGTACAAAAATTATGCAGTAGAGTCAAAGCAAAAATGATTGATTGGTATGTGGGGTTTAACATCAAAAACCACCATATGATTATGAGAGACGCCGTAGTGAAAGGCTCCTGAAATTTCGATCATCTGGGGTTTTTTAACGTGCACCTGAATCGGAGCACACGGGCCTACAGCATTTTCACCTCCATCGAAAATGCAACCGCCACAGCGTTAAAGCAAAAAAAAAAGTTATTCACACACAAACATCTAAGATGTTTACGTATAAAGCAAAATAATGGCAGCCAATATTAGGCTGGTGCCAATTGTGGATGGTGCTAATATGGGCACAGGTATAATTTATTTAGCAGATTCATGACATTATTTTTAGAAATGCATTGGAGGCTGTTTTACTTAATTATAATTCTTTTAAGATTGAATCTTGAAGAACTGCCGGTCAAATTTGCACAGCCTTATTCCAAAGCACTCGATGTTCTATTGGAAGACAGGAAAGACCGTAGTATGCCGATTTGTGCATTTTTCAGCAAATAATCTTAATTAAAGTAATTACAGCTCTATTTAAAATAAACTAAGTGATGCTTTAATTTTGCCAGAAAAAGTAAATTAAATTGATTGAACATGCTACTAGTGCCTTCAGTAGAAAGATCCTTTGCAACAATACACATCACAAAGAATCAATGAGCACAAGTTTTCGCTCGCAAGGTATGCACATGTACATGTGCTTAAAAACGGCTGTAGTAAAACGTGGCATGTGATGCCTTTCCATAGTGAACTCTTTCATGCACAGAACTTTATTTTTCACAGGAAACAATTTTATAGGAAAAATGGCCAAATCCTTTGAAATAAAAAATGATTTTTTCGCAAAAAACTGAAAATTTACAATTTTAATTCAAAAGATATGAATGAGGTGGTCACATGAAATGACCACTAGAGACCGGATTATAGGCATTGCCTATTTTGTTCCTTGCATTTCAATCGTGCTATTCTGATATACGAGCATGAATTAGAGGTTAAGAAGGGTGTTTATGGTGTTTGTATAGTGCCTATCTTTGGTTTTCATGCCTAAATGCCTATTTTCCAATTGAGCACCCATAAGAGCGCTATTCAAGCCCAAATTTTGTTTTTGAGCATGGTGTGAAGCCGTTATTCATGTAAAAAAGTCAACATTAATATTTCCAAACACAATAAGTGCCTTCAGCAGAGATGACTACCACCTCAGTGGAGAGCCTGAGAAAACTAGCTGCTTGTACAACACAATAAGGTTCAACGAAGACAAAGCCGACGGGCTGTGAGCGATCGGAGGAAGAGCATGAGGAGTGCAAAAGACGCTATTTCAGCAGCCCTAAGAAGAAGCACGTCTCAGTGTCTACAGGGGAAGGAGGAGGGAAAAATTAAAGATGGGCTAAGAAAATAAAAGTAACATCTATGGCCGAGGACACGGCGACTGCCTTCTACAGACAGCTGTCCAATGCCCTGAAGAACCACCCTGAAAACCTGGTATTGTGGTGGGAAAGGAAGAGCAGGTTTTTCTGGGCAGTCGCAAGTAGCTGGAGAACGAATGAAAAACCGTGAAGGGCCAGCCATTTTTGTTGATTCAGTGGTGGCGAAGGTCACCAAATTGTTATACATTATACAACGAAGCCTGAGACAGGCACCGGGATGTTTACAATCAACAATGTATTTAGCATACATTCACCGTATGCTTGAATACGCTTGTTCCGTATGAGATCCCCTGTCATATGTCTAAGTGACAAACATGACAAAATACAGAACAGGACTTCAGGGTTCGTCCTAAGCCATTACTCAAAAATGATAGCTGTAACAATATGAAAAATGAGCTAGGATGGGAATTACCATCATCGCATCGAACTAAACTGCGGTTAAAGCTCCTATGTCAAGCATTTCATGATAAAACTCGCATTCGTATGTACCTAAACAGTTTTCTTTGCGCAATGGCAATTAAGACGTTATAATGTCGTAAAAGATATAATATCTTTATTAACTAGTTTTTAGTTAGTTTCATGACAGAACAAAATGGCCTATGAAGAGAGCAAAATGTGTTGTGCCAATGAAGGCGTGTTTTCCTTAGCATTGTAACTTATCTGCTGCAGTGCTTTCGGGTAAAAAATGTGATGTGCACGCATGTTTTGTTTCGTTGGTAATTTACTTTTTAAGCATCCATCTCTAGGTGACATAATAAGTTGTAGTTACACTAGATGTTCTTGCGTGCCCAATGAGAAACGTTCTACCATGGTGATTTTTCAAATCGGTTCGCTACGAGCCACCAAAGCAAGATGTGAAGCTTGATGGTGATGATTGACACCATGTTATGTTGGTTGGGGTCGTATAGACAGTGTTACTGGCGTACGTTGCGACGGCATGGAGCCATGAATAAGAACACCGCCATGCAAGAGACTGACAACTGGCTAGGCCTGGCTTACCTAGCCTTTTCATTAATCTTAAACGAGTGTGGGGGCACTGGCAACTATACATAACACCTACATAGCACTAACCAGTATGCTCTATTGTCCACTAAAGATTAGAGTGGAAATGTAATTATAGTTTGCAAGCACATTCAGTCTTCCTTTTTTAATGGCGAAGCTGCTTAAGACCTCACGATCTCTGCCGTCTCCCGTCAGTCCGTAACACCATGTAACCTTCAACTTTAAGCAACAGTTTGTGGTAACCGTTTTGCATGTAACCTTCAACTTATAAGCAACAGAGGGCACTGTGGTTTTTTGTAGATGTGATGGCGCTGCTGTCAACGCTATATATATATAACCACGTTCCATACTACATATTCTCTTCTCTTATATGGACGAAGATGAACGCAAGAAAGCGCGACGTGCTGCGTATCAGCATCACTGACGACGGGAAGCTACCGCGAAGACAGAAGAGAATCAAGCGGATGGAAAGCGGCGACATCAAAGTTCTACACCACAGACTAGGGCTAAGGAAGCAAAGGTTAAGCGGGAAAAACGCCAAATTGACGCGCAGTTGAGACAACTTGAAGCGGATGCAAGATGGCAATACCAACAAGAAAATGCTACACCTGAGACGATAGCTAATGAAGCTGTGATTATGAAGTCGAAACGTACCCCAGAACCTCATATCAGCTATAATGAAGAATCAACGCAATATCCCAATCGGTCTCAGCACTCTCTCTGTGAATTAAAAAAATATACAAGTATCACAACCACAATCAGTCTCAGTACTATCTCAACTTTAATCACAATAATCACTTCCAAAAGCTTCGCCCCAGAATTATCTTCAAGCAGCTTGAAATGCAATTTTTTTTCCCAAACACCGCAAGGATAACATAATGGCACACTCCAAGTGCAAACTATAAAATTTTTACAAAAATATTGCAGGCTTTATGTCTTGGCACAGCTTTAACATGAAGGAATGAAGCACGACTGTGCAATCCAAGAAATCACTCTCGTCTGTGTTTTCGGTCATGAAACCAGCAACGTCCTCAGTTGACTTCAGCTCTCTGCTATTGAGAAACTACAACACAACAAAAGCACTAACCAAAGACTGTTATGGACAAATGTAAATACAAGCATGCTAAGTTCGACAACAGAAAGCATGAAGTGCCAAAGACAATTCGTTATTCACCAAACTGCAGATTACTGTGAACCTGTGTGCACAGCGATTGGTCAAGGCAAGAAGCTACAACTTAACACCAAGACTGCCTTGGAAGCAATTATCAGCACTGCTGCAACTTAGAAACAATTCAGCAGCAACAAAAAGACCTATGGCTGCAGCTACTGTCATCTGCAGCTGTAGATACCATGCATGACTTCTAAAAGAGCAAAAAAAGGTAAAATCATAACTACAAAAAAAAGAACAAGGCCAGATGGTGCCAAAGTGCAGGCAGTGTGTGGTTCCCCCCATGCAGTGCTTGAGGCAAAGAAACCTTAAATTGTCCAACCAGATAAATGAGTCCACAGGCAAGGTCAGTAACCTGGCTAAAGTTCCTCTACCCCAATCTGACGAGGTCGAGGCTTTTTCAAAACAGGACATACAGCAACAAGATCTTAAATTTCGGCGCTTCCTGTTCATTTCGTTTATTCCTACAGTTGTCGCGCTGTTACTACAATACAACCAGGACATACAGTAACGCTAACAGCCATTGGAAAAGTTGGAAATGCCACATAAGAGGAGATTGTCGGAACGCCGTTGACTTCGGAAAGTTGAACAAGTACAATCAAGGTTAACGAGTTGTAATGCGCAGCGACAACACATGGAAATCGGTCCGTGCAATTACCTTGCAGTTTTATTACAAGGTAATTACAAGTAATTTTATACTCTCAATTTCCTTATAAGGACACGAACATAAATCCAATCATCGAACACGTGCCATTAAATGGACACGCCAAAATACGTTCAACACAGCTGTCGGGCACTCATGAAAACTTGTTAGGCGCTCCGCATGATACACTTGATAGCACATCGGGTCATATGTCAAAGCTAGCTGTTCCACTCGATGGTGCAGGTTTCAAGGTTGCGTAACACGTACTGCACTAGAAAAAAACCCAAAATTTCATAATGCTGCCACGTTCAATTTGCACTGCCCCACACATACTGCCGCGTGTTCTTTACACATAAAAAAAAAAGCGTACATGCGCGCGATACCAGATTACGAAAGTTAAGAATCAAAATCAAGAAATGAAGTGTCGTTATAACTTACGCTGTTTTCTCATCTTTCTCGTCTTTAAAATGCATTGAGCTCATTTCACCAACTTCAGTAAACAAAGAAGTCACTGCTTTCTGGAAAAGAAAAAGAATGAATGAAGAAATCGTTGAGACAAGCGAGTACTGCAAATCCAGGGGCACGCAAGAGACGCTGGACACTGCGACAACTAAAATAGTTGCAATGCGAAGCCGGTCATACATGCGTCAGGCGCTGCATCCGCTAACTATACTTGCCTCCGAAACGTTGCTAGGCAAATTTCCGACAAAAACGTCGCACAATGCCTAAGGTCTTCGGGAGATAAATAAAAAGCCCTGTCATTAAAACAAGAACTAGCGGTGCCGTTGTCACAAAATTCGCGCCGCCGTGCGCGTACTGCCACAAGCACGTGCACAGCACAATGGCGAGCGAGCGAATTCAAAGGCCGCGCAAATTGCTTGCTGGTAGGTGTCGCCCTAGGAGGATATATAGATATATATCCTCCTAGGTGTCGCCTGTGGTTTGCTCTTCAAGCGCCGCCACTACCGCCATCTGCCGCCGCTAAGTAGCTCAAAAACGTGTAAAAAACCATGGGCATATAACTGCGCTGAAAGTCACTTTCAAAAACAAATAACTTACTATTTAGTTGAAACTTTGCAACATGTGTGTCCGAAGGCAAAACTGGCCTTAACACTGTGGGCCGCAGTCAGCTGGTTGCGAGGGGGGGTGGTTGTAAGCAGTCTCTTAAAATAAAAAACAAAAACAAATGAGAGTTGACATTGCTGGTGGCTTAGTGGAGGTGACAATGAACGATTTTTCTCCTTACAGAGATAGCTATGATACGCCGGACTTCGTATTTGATTACACTTCAGCGTTTGATTATTCTTCTATTCATCACATGACAGCGCTGAAAAAACCCGAGAAGTACAAGACGATATTCAACTATAAGAGACGCCAGGTTGTTGTGGACCTGTCAGGTGAACACCATTGCCTGTTAATGATTTATCTTTTCATACAAATTAAAGCTCTTTTTCTGCTGACTGATGGTATACAAACTAGACTTAAAATACCTTTTTCAGATTGCGAGCCAGAACCGTGGCAGTCGACTATTATCAGAACGATCGTGACGTTCTTCTGCTACCTCTTCCTCGTTTTCACGTTTCCAGTGACATGCTGGGTCTGCATCAAGGTATATTTGTCGTAGACTGTGCTGGCCACACCCATTAACAAGCTCTCGCTATTACTGCTCGCAGAGAGTGCCGTCCCTGGAGAGAATCGCGGTCTTCCGTTTGGGAAAGCTGCAGCCAGTTCAAGGTCCAGGTAATACGGCGGCGCAAGATCTTACGCGTGTATCAAGCATCGGCATATGTGTTATACGAGTGTTTAAATTTTTTTACTTAAACTTTTAAATCTCCGTGAGGAATGCAGCTAGGGGTTTGCACACTGCAGCTTGACAGCTCTTGCTTCATTTTGACAGCTCTTGCTTCATTTCGTAGCCGGAGCTGTCTCCTGCACACGCATCTAAATGTGAGTGCATGCGTGTGCAAGAGGCACCACTACATACTGAATAAATCGTTGCACATTGCCAGATGACCGATTTCAAAAAATATATATATCCGCCGTCCCACGTCGTGAAGGTGGATTACCAGCTAAGCTGTTCATCGCGCTACACGGCGGTGACACCGCGGAAGCCAGTCTGGTGCCAAAGAGGAGGTTTCGAACGTGTCCATCATCGTTCAAACGACCATGCAGAGACCGCGGCGACCTGCGTCGTCTTGCCTGGCTTGCTGCCGGCGGGCGCCGATTTTTTCTTTATCAATAAGTAGGCTTCACTGCAACATTGATTCCCTTAAAGTCGGCTTCACATTTACACACTAATGAAAAGACATTTATTCGGAAGCAATATAAGCCACTTTATATCAAAATATAAACGCCCGTGTGCCATCGTCATTTCGTTAGTTGTTTGCTGCTGCACCGAGGTACTACATGCACATCCTGACAGAGTGCATTCAGCAGAGATGACTACCACCTCAGTGGAGAGCCTGAGAAAACTAGCTGCTTGTACAAGGGCTGAAAAAAATACATGTATCCCTAGCCAAATACAGCTTTTTGGTTTTAAAAAAAGCTACAGAATCTTGACCTAATAATTTCATAACCATTCGTTTGTTTGGGTCGATGGTTCAATCATCCGGAGTGATGATAACTCGGCGAACATCTGTTTGGCTTGATGGCCGACCCGTGCAGAATATGTGGTGATGTTCAGAAAGGCTGATGTACTTCAGTACGCACATATTTGCTTCTGAAACGAAGAAGCAAGCAATGAGGAAACAAAGCAAAGACTAGCTATTGTGCAAAAAAAAAGTTAATAAAATTGACATATGTAATACCTTTAAAATATACTTGATGTCAAACTTTGAGAGTGCAAGTTGAAGGATATGAGAGCAAATGATAATAAAGTGCTATTGAAATAAAAGATCACTCGTTATCAACACCAAGTGTGGATTATCCAAACAAGGCCTGATGAGCTATCCCACTGAAAAGCATACACTCAACTAGTGCACTGTAGCACTTAAAAGAAATTGGAACAAAGGAAAAATTCTCTACAGATCAGTTCGTCAGTTTTGTACTTGTGTAAGAGAGATGACACAACGTCACTGGAAGTTCTTGACAGCCCTATGTTGTGGATGCCTGTGTTTGCTTCTATGGTAACTCACCCTCAGCAGCTACATGTACTGGTGACACCATCAGCTGCACTATTTGCTTGAAAAGCATCAGTAGTTCAGACTGCCAAAATTTCTTTACCCTGTTAACCATGCTTTAACAAATCAGCAAACTAAACCAGGACACAAGAAGGCTAGATAGGCGCTAATGCACTCTTTTTCCTCCTACTGTCGTCATTGCGCTAGTTGAGGTAAAAGCCCAATTTTCAGTTCTTCTAACCCTGTTATCATCGGTCAATAATTCAAGCCTCTCCTCACAAAACATTTCACCACATTTAGGTGAATATCACCAAGATAAGTTTATATAGGTGGGTCAGCCAATGAAACACATTGAAGAAGCAGATGCGCACCTCTTGAAGGTGATGATTTAAGAATGTCTGTCTCCTCGACTCTCGCTCAGTGGTGTGATGCGCAAGAATTCCACTCATCTGTGACATAAATTAGCGCACGTAGAATACATCAAGAATGACTATAAGAGAAGTAAAACAAAAAGGAAAGCAAAACCGGCGGGATTGTGTATCTGCTGTCAATTGCTCAGATATTGACCACATTTTTGAAAATAAGTGATGGCTTGCTTATGCATGACAGACCTTTATCTGAAATGATTCGATCAACTTTTGTTGTTTCCAATTCTATCAACTTGCTCGCCATAATATATCAACAGCTATAAAAAAATATCTTCTTTTCTGGCAATAAACTGATTGGAGTAAGGTAGAGAGACTGGCGAGTTGGAAACAGTGCATACTTGGGAAATCGGCACGAACATGACAGAGACACTAAACGAGAAGGACATAATAGATTCTAGTACTGTTTTTTTTTCACCTTGTGTTTCCATTGTCGTGCAAATTAATATACACTAAATCCCTGTTTGTTATTGTGCAGGTTTGCATGCTGGCTAAGCTAGGTTGGTATGTGGGGTTTAACGTCCCAAAACCACTATATGATTATGAGAGACGCCGTAGTGGAGGGCTCCGGAAATTTAGACCACCTGGGGTTCTTTAACGTGCACCCAAATCTGAGCACACGGGCCTACAACATTTCCGCCTCCATCGGAAATGCAGCTGCCGCAGCCGGGATTCGAACCCGCGCCCTGCGGGTCAGCAGCCGAGTACCTTAGCCACTAGACCACTGCGGCGGGGCTGCTGGCTGAGCTAGTCAGTGATGCAGCATCCTGTATGCTCAAGACATGGCTGATCAAAGAATAAGTTCTACCAATTCATTTTGCAGGCACAGCTCAGGGACCTCTCCAAACATCTCTCTCTCACAATTGTTTTGATGATGTTGAGTTGAGCTTGCTAAATATAGGCACCCTGCACCTGCCAGGAACCTCCACTATCACGTTCTCTTTTAGTACTGGTGGGGCACTTCTTTCAGTGGGGTCAGGAGAGCCTCTACAGACCATCCTTTATATTTCAAGAAAAGCGAAATAATGTTCCCATTGAGCACCTTGCTGCTTGTTATAAAAGCAGGTTCTTGACCTCTATATGAAATTTTTCAAAAACTAGATGTTTGTTATGCACTAGCTAAGAATGACATACAGGAGCACTCATGTTGTGTAATTCCTTATTCTTGTGGATATTTGTTACTTTTTCTTAGATAAATATATCAAGAGAGGCCAACTGCCTTATGAAGCAAGCTGTACGTATGATCACAGATGCTGGCATTGAAATTGTTTGTGACTGTATTGGGCAAATGTAGATAACATCAGTTAACATCAAGTTGGGCCTCTTTTTGATTTATTATTGCACCGCTTACTCATGGTCTTATTTTGTAATGTGACAATGGAAGAAGTTGCAGGGTCATTGAAAAAAAAAGCAGTGCCAAGTTGGCAGACAGCTCACATTAGAGAACACGTTCCGCAATCGGATAATTTTATCTTTCATTGACATTGTTTTATTATGTTTGTGTTCATCCTTCTTGATGCATGCACAAATTCTAACAGAAATATGCAGCTGCTGTCACTCTGTTTTTTTTAAGCATGAGACAAGTTTGCCTTAAGCTTGGGATTAACCAAATCAAAATAAGTCTTTTAGGAAGTACATGAAACCTGTGAAAACTTGTAAAGAAAAGAGTGATGACCATAGGGTCAAGGGGAAAATATGCTTAGTCTTTCTAGAATTGCTCTGATTTATTCAGTAAGTAAAATTTATACAATTTAACATGACATCATTAATATGGGCATGAGAGGGGTTCCCCATTAGAGGGGACAAAGTCTCGCTGCAGTACCCCTCCCCCCTCCCCTTGGTCAAGTAAAAAAAAAGCACGCTTCGCAGCGGATGCAAAAATGAGAACGAACACCTGCTGAACATCAGTGGTGCTCAGCAGGTGTTATTGTCGGCAACCTACATAATCATAACCTTGCGATTTAAACAGTGATGAAACAGGCCCGACTGAGTAAAAGTACGGAGCAAGTTTGGCTCCTCCTGCCCCTCTTGTGTGAATGCCTGTGATCCTAAATAAACTGCAGCAGCGCCTCCTCAATTTTTTTCAGTGCCCAGGTGAACGCGCTCTTCAGGCCGTCGAGCGCACGCTTCTCCTCCACTCGCCACTGCCGCATGGTGGCACTGCACAAGTAGACTAAAAGATGCTGGCACTAAACAGCTGCACGTATCGGGAAGCTCGCAAATTCATGTTTTCATGCGAGTTAATTTGCAGTCATTTTCTTGACGGCTTCACGGATGCAGGAAGGATGAAAAGCAACACGGAACATAGTGGCGCGCTGTTTTTACCAGGCTCTGTCAGGCCGTGGTGCCGGTTTGATATATGCGTTCGAGTTTTATAGCATTCGCATTTTATTTTATTTTCCAAGCTATTGAAACCCCATTATTTGCATGCCTCAGTATATAATACTGCTGTGTACCACTCTGCATTTCTGACAAAAAAATAACAGATTGTCTCTTTTTTTTTTCATTTCTCATTAGTTACAAAAAAAAAAAAACTCGCCGGTACTCTTATGGATTCACTTGAGATGACTTGTTCGTAACCTGGAATCCATGGGACATATTCACTCTGGGGGATTGGCCAAGGAAACATATAGTATCCTATAAACGGTAACTGCATTATTGCTTACTAAAAAAAGAAAAGAAAAAGATGGAGGAGGAAGACATCGTCAAAAAAAATACAGAGTGAGAAAAAATTAATTAAAAATTAATTTCTCAGTGAGAAAAAAATTAATTAATCACTATTATAATAACTATACTACTTTGATTTTGGGAGCCGACCAGACTGCTGAGTGTGCCAAACCCGATTAATTTGGGATGTATGTCTCATATTTATTGACATTTCGAGAATTGCTTCCCGTCTCTTCTTTGTTTTTTTTTTTTTTGAGTATTTGTTAAAGGGGGCCCTATGTTGAAATATGTTTAGTGTCTGAAATGAAATTGCTAACCGCATCAAATACATCTCTGTGGCTATTTCTCAAAACGGAGGCACCAAAATTTAGAACAGTTTCTGCGGTTAAAGTTAAACCTAGCTTCGCAAACGGAATAACTAGAAGTCTTTTCCTAATTACTGTGAAGTTAGACATGAAACAAAATAATGTTCAATATTTTCCGATTCTTCGCAGAACGGACAAAAAGGGGAGACTGCCAGACCGGCTCTGTGTGAATAAAAATTTAATGGGGGAACACGGCAGTCTAGTGACATTTTGTGCTATTTAGTGCATGAACTCCAGGCTTGCGCATAATGTGCTACGGCCCCAGAGAGTAGCAAGCATCGAGAACCCAAGCTTTTATATTAGCTCCTGGGAAAGGCTTCTCTCAAAAATTGACTTTCAGTTAGTCAAAAGAGTAACTGTCAGTCTAGCAAACGCCACGATGACAAAACGATCTTTCGCGGATCACTTGCATATCTATCCGATATTGGCCTAGCTAGCAGACGACACGCGAGTGCCTCGATCAAGTAGTTGCAAACGACTCAAGCCTTTGAAATGAGCTGAGTGCCCAGAACAAGTGCTTCGCAATTCTCGTTTCCAAGTTTCCATTACACCTTAAACAATGCCATTACAGCTGAAAACCTAGCCATATAGCAGCTTCAAATGCAGCCGCGGCATTTGTTTGCGCGAGCGATGACGCGGCGGCATCTATACTCCTGTTGCGGCGTCTGGCGGCAAAGCACTGCACTAGAACCGACGGCCGCTTCCCATTGAAATCCGCTCTTTCACCCAAGCACTGAAAAAATAGAGGAGGCGCTGACTGCAGTAATTCAAACATGCGCATAGTTCTTTGATGAATTGCTTGTCCATTAGACCGAAACAACATTGAAATGTGGACATGTTCACCCCTCCCCATTTACGTCACGATATTTCGCCAAAAGGGGTCAAAGTTTCTCAAATTTGTGCCACTCTGATAAATCTACTAGTGTCTTTTACTCTTGCAAATTATTGAAAGTAAATTGCAAAAGAGTGTCTTTCTTTGGAATGAAAAGCAGTGTAACTCGTTTTGATAAAACTCCGCAGCATATTTGTCCCTAGTGAGTTACTTAAATTTAAAGGATAAAACATAGCATTTCACAACGTAATTGTTATGTTAAAAACCATTCTGTTGTGGTACATTAAATATTTTTTGCTTGTATGCAATGCAGAGCATTGTAATGCCACACTGCTATTAGAGTCATCAAGTACAGGCAACCACAATCATTCCACTCGGTTTCCTAATGTGAACGCACCCTCTGCCACAGAGCTGCTTGCCCCAGGATGGTGTTAAGTTTGCAGGGTGCCTTTAGTGAAAATCATTGAGAATACGTAGTATTGTGCTATTTTACTCAATTGAGGGTCATTTGTTTGATAGGGATTCATGTGGTCATTTGTTTGTTGTGTTTTTGTTGCTTATTTTTATATTGGAATTTGTCTTGCCAACTTTCAGCAATAGCAGCAATGAACTACGGAGGCCTACAGATCAGCCGACTGCCATGGATAAGCTCAAGATAAAAATAATCACGCGAAAGGTTCAGAACACCAAGCGAATTCAAGAGGCAAGTGTGCTACTTGAAAATGATGGCACGACATTGCGACTGATCAATGCGATTTACGAGAGGCTCAACAACAATAATGAGGAGTTCAACAAGATGAACGAAGACATTGAGAGCAACAAAAGAGATGAAGCCTTCAAAAAGGAGACCGTCGTGGAATATGAGGATAACGCGACCTGCATATTAGTCGACCTTCAGAGCAAACGCTGACAGCTCACCGAGACATCTGTGGTTTCACCAGCTGTTGAAGTTCGCGACGTGCGGCCGGCTATGCGACCTGCTGGAAGGCCAGGAGCCAAGTTCCCAAAGTTGGCAAATAATTAATCCGCATGTGAATCGTGTGCGTGGAAAGCGTTCTGGCTGTAATTTGATGAGCTCATCAACCAGAATGGAAATCTCACCTCTTCTCTACTGAAGAGTTTAATTGTTTGAGACTTTTTGAAAGGAGACGCGACAGCTATGGCGGGGCTACCTACTACCGAAGTATGCTAACGAGGAAACCTTAGTCATGCTGAAAAAATGCTTCAGCGACAAAAAGCGCTTTGAGCAGGAATATTTCTCAAGGCTTCAAAGGCTTACTTCTGTGTGTTCTTCCAATAAAGTGGCCAAACTCCACAAGCTGTGCGAACAAGTGTTGATTGGGGGCTCATAGCGTATGCAGATTATTTTTCTCATCAACGCTATGCAACCCTTTGCAAAGGGCTTTGCCACATGACACCATCGTTGCCTACCTCAGATCTTGCACAACAGAACCTGCACGGTTCATCATCAACAACTTTCAAGTTCAGCACGTCATGGAACTAGATCACCTTGTGCAGTTTGTCTGTATTTAAATGGAGAGCCTCAAAAAGAGAGACTTTGGGGAACGGAAAGGATACGATGAGGCGGCTGATCCTAGAAACCGCGATAATCCTCAGTTTCACAGCATTTATGACACAACCCATACAGCATCGGTACTTCATTGTCAAGTTTCTACTACTCCCACAAAGTTGAGCTGCGCCTTATGTAAATTGACGCAGCACTTGACGGAGTGCTGCCGTAGAAACCTACCGCTGCCAAATAAGAAGCATATTCTCTCCACTGACATGAGCGGCTTTCAATGCACCAGTAAAAATTACCGCGCAAGACTGCAGACATAGAATTGCACGCTTCGGCTGAAGGGGTCTTCATGCATCAAGTATGTGCGAGCCAGACAAACTAAGGCAAAAGCCTCGTGAAGACATCAAAGTGACCAGTCAACTCACCTGACCAGAACACAACAAAACACTGACTACCATGGAAAAGTTAAAGTGGACCTTTCAGGGTAGCACCGAACCCTCCCAGTCAAAGACATTTGACTCCCGAATCATGGACATGAGCTCCCGGCCTGACAATTCAAATGGTAATGAGTTGCAGGAAATCATTGAAATCACGGAAAAGGGAAGCTGACCCGACTTAAACTCCATGTTCGAACTAGCAATAGTGAGAGCCTGGAGCTGGCCTTGCATGCTAGCCAAAAGTGAATTATCCAGGCGAAGCATAATGTCCTGCATGAAGCTCAAATTCATAAAAACGAGAATGAGCTAGCCACTTCATTGCGAACTAAGATGGCCGATTCACGATTAGAGTTGCGCAAAGAGCAGATTGCTTTCGACTAGAAACACAGTGCTCATGCCAGCACAGTGAGGAAACTTCAACGTACGATTATTGATGAACGACCTCATAGTGAAAGCTGCGAATGCAAACTTGCAGAAGCCATGAGGAAAGCTTTGCAGACAGACGTGGAAAAGGAGTACTAATCCAAAGTAGAGAGACTGATCCAGGAGTTGAATCAGGTGCGCAAGTGGCTGCGTGGATCGGAGGAGAAGCTCTAACTGATCTTCCCCATGCTTCTCAAAATGCAAATGTTGGACATAGAACCATGCCAAGCTGATTTACATAAAAGAAAGAAGCAGCAAAGACATGACTTTGATTGCCTTCATAAGCAGACGACAGGAAGCGAGATGCAGATGACAAGCCCAGACATTTGTGTGTAGAGGTTTTCCCAGCCTGCACGAACACAAGATCAGCTGCGATTGCAAATCGAGCAGATCAGAGAGTGTCTCTTGCTGCTAAGCCAAGAAGACGGATGCTTGTCAAATACTGCAAACATCGATGCCAAGACTGCCGTACTGCCTTCCTAGGATAGAAAACCTAAACCTGTGGACAACACTGAACCATTTTGGAGAAAGGCACCTGCAGCTGTAACAGACAATGCAGCTCCTGCTTAGAGGCCTGTTGACCTGATTGCCTTCATCAGCGAACTAGCAGAAAAGGAATCAGTCTCCATGCCAAGTTGTAAGAGAAGCTGCAGCAAAGGACGTATGAGTCTGAAAAGAAGGCTGACACCTAAAGGCTGTATCGAGAAAAATGAAGCAGAAACACACACAAAGGACTTTAAGGATGCAACACTGAAAGTGCCTTACCACACAGATAAGACACCACTGCGCGGCTGAGAATGTGTTGAATTTCCTGTGTTAGCCTGAGAGAAGAAAGCGACGAGCTTTGTGCCAGTAAGCCAGCGAACGCGTGAGCTCTTTTGAAAGAGAGAAGAGGCCATTTTTATCTTCTGTGCTCATTCAGATGCTAATAAACATCTGTCGGAGTTCTCAAGTCTATGTTGGCTGTTCTGTCTGCCGCAAATTTTCCACTGCAAACATTCCGCAAAGGTGCAGGCATAGAAGTTGGGGTAAACTATCTAGTTAATAGCAGATAGTGAGCTTAGAGCAAGAAGCTGAACTGCACAATGAGAATACAATCACATAATGACGTTTTTTGAAACTGCCAGGCCAGTAGCATATTTTACAAACTTATATTGCCATAATCAGAAGGAAAACTGCCACTGCTTGTAGTGCAAAATGTCAGTCAAATGCACTTAGTGTACCCTAGTAGAATGCTAGGCCCAAGAACCTAATTTGTTCCACCGTGACGTATATGTAGTTTAAACAACATGACTATAGTTTCTGTATTTGTGCTGTTTCTGAATTATTATACCTCAATTTAGTTGAACTGAACTTCCCAATATTCCAGAAATACAGTCTGCCAACTACAAAAGAAGACAATAGGATATGATATTTTACATTCTGGGGTTTTCAGAGATGATCCGCTCTGCATTATGCCAAGCCACTAACTTCTCACAGTTTTCTCTTGAAACGTGTCTTATCTTGATCTTGCCTTGTGAGTGTGTTTCACTTGTTAAAGCGGTTACATGTGTTATTGGTCGACTTAATGCTGCACCCGTGTGTTGAAACCTTTTTACATCCTTTAGATTGGTCTAATCAGGTTGTATGCATGGTGCAAAGATATAGTACTTCCAAGACCTTGATAGCATCAGCAATGTGGCTGCAAGGTCATTATACTGCTATCACCAAGTGCTCGAGATAACTGCACGATGTCATTACGAATTTGACCAGTGAAGGTAACGTTACTGATCGAAGTGTTTGAGTTGAAATCCTGCCAATAATATAGGAATTGAAGACTGTGGAAATGAAAGTAGTACATGCATTCCAAGGCCCTAAATTGGAACATTTCTATCAGTGAGAACCGTACATATATGAATATAAATGAATGAATATATGTGAATGAGTATGTGTGAACATAAGTGAATGGGGAAAAAGAGGTGGCACACTTTGACTCCCCTAACCCCGCCATGAGCAAAGAGAGGGTATAGGTGACGCACTTCAGTTACATCTAAAAGTATTCACTCTATTGAATATTAATTATGTTTATCGGTGTTGAGACAGCTGTGCATATTGCACATTTGTGATACATTTCCGTTATCTTTCACCAAGCTGCTGCGAAAGCATAAAAATGATGAAAACTGCGCTGAACTGCTTCGAAACAAGCAAGAACTTAGGTGTCAACCTCAGCTGCAGTAGGGCAAAAAAAAGGCAGAGTTGGCTACGTAATTTTCCGAGTAGCGCTAGGAGTACCAAAAAAGAAGACGCACCCTAGCGTGCTTTTTACTTTGCACATTTCTGGTGAGGAAGGCTTCCATGGTGCCTCCATAATCTCCTCTGGACTGTTGTAAATATGCGTGAGCCCGCAAAAATGTGCTGCCGTGCATCGAGCAAGCTGGTTCTGGTAGCTGAACGGTGTGTTCTGGTTCCACTGTCATTTAGCGAAAACTACCCGGTTAGCCACCCTAACCCTGTGGCATGCGTAGCGGGGCTCTGACTTTCAGGTTCTTTGTTGTACGTAGCACGTTGCTCTGGTCGTTGTGGTGTTCATGTGGACGCTTAGCGTTCACCTACGCGCGCTCATTCCCCACATTGGTGTCTGCAGGTAGCGAGAGCCCCACTTAATAGCTGCACTAAATACTCGTCCATAGTGCACGGTATGAAACTTTCATGATTTTGCGAACCCGTGGTGCACTGAACTCGTAGTGTTCAAGCCAGTTTAAACGAGCACCTCGGTGCTTTGTTTGCAACTTATGACGCGTTGGAGTTCACGTGGCACAGTTTTCACAAACGGTGATTTGCAATACTGCTCTGTTTTGTAATCGAAACTCTCAATGAGCGCTTTAAGAGGCATCGCTGCATGCTGACTCTGGGCTACACGAGCTTTAGGCTTAGCTTTACGTTCAACTGGTGTTTTGGTGGCAGCCATTCTGTAGTGTAACTGGCACACTTCTTTCTTTTTTTCTCAACAAATCTGGCCTCTTTCCGTTTGGCAGTTCATTTGCGTGGACCTCTGGGCAATGTAGATGGCAATCGCAGGTTGATGGCCATTGATATTAAAGAAAATCGAACAGGCTAACATGGTCAATACTAATAACGCATACTAATTAATGCTTAGTAGCATCTGCTTATCACTAGGCTCCATATGCAAGTGCTTTACGAGATAGTCGGTGTGGCGAGGTGGCCGCGAACGGTGGTGCATCGTGCGTTTGTTTTCTATTAAAAGCTTGCAGTATACTTGACAATAGCATCTCACTTTTCTTAAGTGAAGGCCCACTGTTACTTAACTATGATTCTTGCGCAATTGAAATTTTTTTAATTCTTTATGAGTATGATGCTTGTCTCTTTTCAAATGTTTCCGGTGAACCTAGATTCCAAAGTCTTTATTTCATGTTTGTTAGAAAGGCTGGATAGGTCACGTGGTATGTAGAAAGGTAGTTCATACCTGGCGATAATCTGTTCAAACAGTTTCTTCAAAGTCTGTTTCAGTGTAATGTGTATTATAAGTAAATTAAAGTATGCACTTGTGCCCCCATGTTGCTAAAATTTTGATTTTTCAAGCTCCCAGGACGACATACTAAATGCCGCTGGCTGCTCCAAAGTGAATTCGTCCGCTCCGAAATTGAAATTTTGCTGCTCCGAAAACTGCTCTCAATTCAGTCTCAGCTATCTCACCCTTGGTTAATTGTAACTGGAGGTGTCAGCCAATGTTTCCTTGGTGTTCCAGGTTATGAAGCAATGAGAAAAAATACAGGGTCTTACAAAAACTTGTAAACTGAGGTAACAGGGAGTGTCATGAAATAAACAAAGTGAAACTGTGTGGCACTGATAAAAGCGGTACCCATGTTGTATGACTTTATTGAAAGAACAACAGATAGCTTAGCAACATTGGTGACTGACTTTTCATGTAAATACCACTATTTTATTTTATTCACTAAATTGATGTTATGACTCTCCTTAGTGTTTTTTTAAGACTGCTGCAGGGTATCATGGTTCACTGCAGTTTATTAAACACTGTGTGCAGGACTAATATCAAGGTAATTCTGAGTTTTTTATAAGCAATTGCAGTCCTTATAGCATTTCTCCCAACTAATGCAAACGCTTTAATATATAAAGTGCTGCTCCTGAAGGGAACAGATAATTTCAAAAAACAAAAGTAAGCATACACTTGAGGGGCTAAGAGCTTGCTGATGTAGTTATAATCATGCAGTCACCCGAGGCATCTTTTTCTGACACCACAGGCCTTGTGCTGGTTTTCCCAGTGATTGACTCCTACATGAAAGTTGACCTGAAGCCCAAGGTTTTTGAGGTGCCTGCACGAGAGGTACAGTTGGTTAGTGCTAATACTAGTGCAAATTTTAATGGGTGCTTTCTACCTAGGTTCTGACTGGGGATGGAGCCATCGTAGAGGTAGGAGCGGAGTTGCATTGGCAGGTGGTCCACAGTGTCCGTTATGTCACTCGAGTAAAAGAGGTAGATGCAACAGTAGGAGCACTCTGCCAGCAGTGCTTGGCATCTCTTTTGGGCTGCAGCGACCAGGATGACTTGGACAGGCGACGGGAGGCCATTGAGGCCACACTTCTGGTGTGTTCACATTTATCTACCTTGTCAAAAACTGTACCTATGTTTGAATTCGATTCATAGGCACTTTTAACAGGGATGCAAGTGCCTTTTGTATGCCTCAGGTAGGGTTACCTAGCAAGTACAGCTGCCCATTTTCTTTAATGTGAACATGCGAGGATCAACCACCAAGCCGATACGGGCCGCGCTAAGGAGTGCAGCAGCGAAATGAACGAGAATACACACACGTGCAGACTTAACACATCCTGATTAGTTTTCTTTGATTTTCTGTCCTGTTTTTGACTTGCAGCAGCAGATGTCTTTTTTGCCTCAGAAAATGCCGTGTGAACCACAGCAAAAAGAAAAAAAAAAATCTTGATACGCATGTAGTATAATCAGTGGGTGTGTATCTCACACGCGGCCAATTCACACTTCCTTTTATCTTGAAGGCAGCGTTCAGAAAAGAAAAACAAGCCTGACTATAATTGTGCTCAGAAAAAAAGGGGCTGATGTCTGGTTCCCAGAAGAACCTGGAAGAAGGGCTGCTTATCATGTGCATGTGCATATTCTCATTCATTTTGCTATTGCACTCTCGTATGCAGTGCTTATCCACTTAACAGTCAACTCTCGCGTGTTCAAGTGGCTGTTTAGTTAATGATAGTGAAACTATCTGCCCTGGTATATTGTCAGCCACAGTTTCCAGTGAATTGAATTTTTTCCTTGGTAGTTCCACCAGAAAACTTCATCTGGCATGAGAAGACCTTATGTAGACTGTCTAGTAGATGGAAACTTTGATTAAAACTTCTACATAGCGCATATTATATAATCAAACAGGAATTGGTGAACTAGAGTACCTACTAGCTTCAACATAGCATTCCAAAAAATGTAAACACACACATAAAATACAAGAATACTTCTTCAGAACCACTAGTTATGCCAACTCTTTCTTTTTAAAAACAGAGAATAGAATGAGCTTCCTGAGGATATAGTTAACTTAAGTGACAACAGTGCTTTTTTCACATTATTGTGACTTGTGACATGCATGTTACACCATTAATATCTATTTGCTATTGCGATATTGTACTAATACTTTTGTTGCTGCTATTGTTATTTGTTGTTATTATTACATTTTATATTCTGTTTTTGTGTCCTATTGAGAAATCTTCTTAACTGTATCGACTCTGTATATGCATCGCCCTGCAGTATGCCGCTAGAGCATTGTAGGAAGTATGTAAATAGAATATTTAAGAAGGTCGAATTTGAAGGGACTAAAAACCAGTCCCTATGGTGACTGTTATCTGTAGTGCAGTGGAAGGCTTACCAATCGCAGTGTGTAACCATCAGAGACCATATTTCAGGCAAATGCCTATTTTGTTTCTTCCATTCCCATCGCTACACTTTGATATATGAGCATGAATTGGAGGTTAAGAATAACATCTATAGTGTAAATGCGTATTTTAGGCATTTGTGCCTCTAAGTGCCTATATATGCCTATTCTAAAAATTGGCCCTTAAATGGACACTGCTTAACCTCAAAATGTACTGTCAAGTGCAGTTTGAGACCGTTATTCGCCTTAACGGGCTGCATTGACGGTTGTTGCAGTTCTACACAGAATGAAGGAATGACACGGGGATAGGCGCTGGCTGTGTGCTGAAAGTTTTATTGAGAAATTCAAATATAGATATATAGATACAGGAAAGCATGAGAAGAGATTATGTTACAGTTTTAATCACATGCTTGACGCCAGGTAGTGTATTTCTTTGTCGAACCGATCAAGCGACGGAACATTTCCATATTGCTCGACTGCTTCTCAACAGCAACTCTATTTGCAGTGGAACCCCGCTGTTACGTTCCTCACTGCTGCGTTTTCTCAGCTGTTACGTTGTCTTTCATCGGTCCGGCATAGCTCTCATAAAATACCATGTTTTGCAAACCTCACTGTTGCGTTCCAACCTAGTCCACCGAATCGACCCAGGCATAGAGTTTCCTAAGCATACACTAGAAAGAACTCTGGTGCTAGTGTCTATTAAAGCTGCAACGCACGGCGCTTCAGCGAGCATGGGAATTATGGGTAGTAGTACATAGATTTGTCTAATCTTCATACTTTTGGCTCCGTGTGTGTTCGTGTGGCTTGGAGCTGTTTTCTCACGAAACAAAAATCAGTAAATGTTCAGCGGCTGCACTTCATCACCTTATTCTTTTAGGCTTACCATTTCAAATCGGTTCACGAAGTTCAAAAGGGTTTGTTCTTTCCTTGAAAACAAAACCGAAACACCACAATTAACAAAGCCACAAGTGCTATTCGTCGCCCACAAGTACGAAGACTAGGCAAATCCATGTACTACCCATCATTCCCATGGTGGCTGAACGATCGCAGCGTCAGAGTCCCCTCTAGTTAATTTTAGGAAAATCTATGGGCCCGGGCACCACCATTTCGAATAGACGTTTGACAGTCTTGGCCTGGCTTGGCTATGGAACAGGCTGCAAGAAGCTGCAGACGAGTTGCAGAGGCCACCCCTAGATGGCCATTTGTGAAATGTGCTGTCATCATCATCACTGTGCTTACAATGGAAGTTTCAGCACGGAATGCCGGAAGTGCATGACAACAGTCCCATCGCCGCACCCCACATGTTGTGACTCGTCCTCAGTCACCGTTGTGTGCGCTAAGCCTGTTACCGTTAAACTGGTCAACGCAATCTTTGTCAAGCCTTAATGGCGTTGCATTAGCAGAAATCACTTTCCCTTGAGGAAAAGTTGGACGTACTTAACACAATCGACAAGCAGCCAGCGCATAAAAGGGTCAACATTGCCAAAGACCTTGGACTTCCACCATCAATGATCAACAACATCGTCTCGAAGATTGCCGAGATTGAAGGGAATGCAGTTCTCTTCGGCCCGAAAGCCATGCAAGCACGAGAACCTCGACGAGGCTCTTCTCGGCCAGTTAAAGCAAGCTCAGGCTGCTGGTATAAACTTCGACGGCAGCATTCTATGCGAGAAGGCGATGGAAATAGCCGACAGACTGGTCATCGCTGATTTTGCGGCGTCAAATGGCTGAATCGACTGTTTCCGCTAGAAACATGGCATCGCTTACAAAACAGTAAGCGGAGAAGCAGCAAGTGTGAATGTGGAAACAGCAGATGATTGGAAGTCAACATTATCGGCTTCAATTGAGGGGTACGAGCCTCGTGACATTTACAACGCTCATGAAACAAGCTTCTTCTTTCATGTGCAGGCATCCAAATCGTTAAGCCTGAAGAGCAAAGCGTGCCACGGAGGCAAATGCAGCAAAGACCAGCTGACGGCGCTCCTTTGCTTCAAAATGGACAGCTCGGACGAGCTAAAGTTGTGGGTGATCGGCAAGTCGAAAAACCCACAGTGCTTGAAAAACATTTGCCTGCTGCCATGCTACTACAGAACAGTCGTGCGTGGATGATGTGCACTTTGTTTGAAGAGTATTTAGGATACTGCGATAATTATTAAGATGGGTTCACAGTGCGGGGGAGTTTCTTATTCCTGGACAATAGTGTTGCCCACCCGAGAGATTTGCCATTTCTACAAAACGTCAAACTTGTTTTTTTTTTCCACCAAATACGACAAGCCACTTGCAGCTGTTGGATGTCGCGGTAATAAAATGAGTGAAGCATTCGTACAGAAAAAGCATCGTCAAGCACCGTCTCTCGCGTATTGATTGTGGACAGCAGCCTACAACAATTTCGGTACTTGACCCCATGCATTAAGTCGCATCAGCGTGGAGTGCTGTGAGCGCGTCAACTGTAAAGCACTGCTTCGCGAGGTGCAGGCTCCGTATGGTCAGTGAACGGGAGCCTCTCATTGGAGCTCAATAATCGGAAGCAGCCTCTTGTGAACAAGAGCTCAATGAGGCAATGAATGCGCTGGGTGCCACGGGTACGACGTACGACGACTACGTCGCTGTGGATGCTGCCATCGTGACGTCGGGGTGCCAGACAGTCGCAGAGATCGTTGCAAACTCGATCGCACTTTAAGATGGGAATATTGATGACGACGAGGAGCACAAGCCACGCGATTCTGAAGAGTTGGCAGTGGACTCGGTTGATCTCAACTTTGGAAAAACAATGACTGTCCTGGACTACCTTCGCAGGTACGTCACACACCAAAGCGACACTGAAAGCAATGTGGCCTTTCAGATTATAGAGAAACGTGTAATGCTTACGAGCGAGCGAAAGAAGTGGCAGTCAACTATCTTCGAATATTTGAAGTCTTAGGCTCACCTTGCTGAAATAAATTGTTTGTAGTCAAAGCGCCTGTGCTCTCATTCAATTTCGGAGCTTTCCTCACTCTTGCATTTTCTCGGCTCTTGCGTTTTTTTTACCCAGTTCACTGAACAACGTATGAACGGGTTTTCACTTACTTAGTGATAAGTAGACAATAAAGCAGAAATGCCTAATAGTATAAACAAACTGTAACTTAAGCCAGGAATTGTGGCATGCCTGAACACCAGAAGCTTTTAAGGCTAGGAGCTTACATACAGGAATCCGAGTGACATGACTTCTTCACGCAGTACCAAGACTTGTCCACCAGACAGCATGAAATACTGGTTATTGCGGCTTTCAAAAACAATTTAAAAATGGAAATGATCTTTAAGTTATTTATGGAAAGGATGCCTGATTCTCTTACCATAATTCATGGTCTTTCCAATTCCACTTGGACCTAATCACACCTTCTTCCTGGTTGCCAGTCTCCTTTGAGCTCTACTACTTACATAAATGCAGTTTTAGAGTTGCAAGAAAAAGCAGCGTAACGGCGCCCATTGATGGCTGATATGAATCAGGGGCGCAGCCAGAAATTTTTTTTGGAGGGGGGGGGGGGGGGGAATAATCTGTACATCATGTATGTGTGTGCATGCATTTGTATGTATGCGTGTATATAACTGAAAATTTTCTAAAGAGGCTTGTACCCCTTCCCGGCTACGCCCATGATATGAAGTATGATCCATAATGTTTTTATTGAAATTTTGAAACTGTTTCAAATATTTTTAGCTA